GTTGCTTGGCAGTCCCACGTCTGCCGTGTTCACGTGTGTCCGGGAAAGGATATAGGCCCGGGCAAGGAAGAAGACGTTATGTATAACAAGATAACAACTTTTAATTAATATAAGACTAGTTACATGTGTCTCGTGGACACGAGCTATAGGTATAGCTCTGACGGTGTCGATCGAGCGAGAGACCAAACGCGACTGACTTCAACGGCGCAACTACGCAGCGCGGCTGCTGATGCAAGAGAGACGCGAGCAGTCAGGGAACCTCCCCCACTCTAGTCCGGTATCAGTCAGACGGAACGGAAGTCCCCACAGCAGCCTTACATACAAATGTATATGTACACACACACACACGCTTCCATTCATTGATCGTCTGTTTGTTTATGCTTGTTCATACGTTTCTATATCTATACATTAAACGAAAGTTGAATGACTAAAAGAAAAAATTGGAGGTGCACAAATTTTAAGAAAAAAAATTAACCCTAATGTAATCAGTATGATTACTACGATTACAAATACAAGAGAAACAAATAACCAACGTTAGACTGCTTTTCACGTAAATTACTTACGAACAATTTGATAAAGACAGTATTTCTGAGTTTAAAGCTATAAAAAAATTAGATTTTTAAAAATTTAATCATCTTGTATGTTTCTCAAAATTAAACATCATATATCACTAAACAGTGTACAATAGAGCAACAATAATGTACTTATAAGATTTTTCCTTACCATTTGCTAAAATTAATCATCGTTGTTTTCTTCTTCTTCTTCTTCTTGAAGGGAGGGGGGAGGTGTTGGCACCAGTGAGGGCAGTGAAGCTGCTATGTTATCAGCGTGATCCGAACGACCATTAACAAAACTTGTATCGTTTTGTTTTCTATCTGAAAGCGTTGAATATACTGTATTGTCAGTACTGTTAGTACAGTAGATATATGTTATTATGTTGTGTAGATATATGATATATGTCGATAGCACGACAAGTGACGAGTAAGTCAACCAAACTTACGAATTCTCGCGTACCTGCGCCTGATGAGGCTGACGCATATTGTCAGCGAAACGTTGCGCATTAATAAATCAACGCAAGAAAATTTAAATACACTTTACTTGTATTTATTTATTTTCTCACATTTCGCCCCCAACGAATCACTGATCACTTTGAATTTCCAAATTCACCGGAGGGCACTGATATATACTAACAAACCATTATACATATATACATTTATAAATATACCCTGGCTAGGGTGGGTGGTGGGTGGCTGGGTGCCTGGGTGGTGGGTAAATACAGTAAATGCGTGTATTTATTACATAACGTGTCATCAATGTAATTAATGTAATAATTAGTAATAAATGTAATTAGTGTAAGGATACAGAGCATTAATGTCTGGAATGCGTAAGATGCTCCAATAAGACAAATAAAGACAAATATTTTATGACACAAATAAGTGTTAAACTTATTAAAAAATTTACTTCAGACTTTGAACACATACAAAAATCAAGTTGAGTTTTTTCGGAACCAAAAATGATTTGTTTATACATCCAGATACCAATTTGTCATGTATTTTCTCGTAGAAAAATAGCTCTGAGAATTAATTACATGAATTACACGCTGTGTCATTAATACACATTATCTTACGTAGATTAATAACCTATAAGAAATACACTAATTACACGGTGTAAGATACATACCTACTACTGCCTACTACACGCAAAATAATTTCGAGCATAAGGAGATCAAGTACATGTGCTTATAGAGTTCAAATCACTTTGAATTCCCACTGCACAAGTATTTGGACTACCTAAGATCAAAGATCGTGTCATACTAGTTCAAATGTGCATTGAACTTGTGAAGCACAAGCATGAGAGCCACTCTGCCTGTAGTTCGTGCGCGCACAGTACGGCGCAGCATTGAACTGTAGAAGCTTGTAGAGGGGAGCCCCTGGAGCTCAGCGATCGTGCTCTCACAGCACAAAGTCTGGGCTCCGTGCGTTCAAAGCTTCTTTAAGATCTGTAAGGCCGTATTTTGGGCTGAGAAAGCTTATTCGTACGCACCTCCTCGGCCCTTATTGTCGTCAAACTGCATGAGCCTAATAATTGGGCTTAACTATATACTCAAGGCTTATGGCTAATGACCATAGTGAGTATATGTATATGTAAAACTGAAATAATTTTTTAACGAAGATATAAAAACTTTTTTATTTCAATAAAATAATTATTCATTTAAATAACATCTAGTAAGATTGTACAATATTTGAACATACTTGAGTGCAGCAATAATAGGTTTTAGATATATTTTATTAAAATCATCAAAAGATTGACTACATGCAGATTTTAAAGCGCTCTTTCAATTTAAACCTTTTTAACTATAATTTTAATAAATTTTATCAAAAAACTTTCGTGTAATTCCGTTTTCCAAACGGAATTTGTAGATAAAAAGATAAAAATTAATATACAACATAAAAAGTATTCGAAATTTAAGTACTTTTGTATGTACAAACCGTTTTACAATTCTATTTGATAAACTTTTTCAAAAAACTACTGAAATAAATTTTAATTCTATTGTATTCATTTATACAAAATAAACCCTATGCCACAATTCATCTAAGTTGAGAGAGCTGTTTTAGGCAAAACAAGATCTAATGAGTTTAACCAAAGTTGCTCGAATCACACAACTACCATTATGAATTTTGTAACACAATACTTAGTACAGTAAATGAATCTAATAGATATTATTAGCCTTACAGTTTTTGATCCTTTTAAACATCTAGTTACTTAAATAATTTATAAACATAATATTTTATTAAATGGTGATGCGATCAAAAAAGAGGGAGGGAGAACTAATTTTTTATTGTGAAATTAATAATTTATTTGAAACATACAGTTTTAATTGCTATTTTTTAAATTCAAACATCATATCTGGTCGTACAAAAAATAGCAATTAAAACTGTATGTTTCAAATAAATTATTAATTTCACAATAAAAAATTAGTTCTCCCTCCCTCTTTTTTGTCCGCATCACCATTTAATAAAATATTATGTTTATAAATTATTTAAGTAACTAGATGTTTAAAAGGATCAAAAACTGTAAGGCTAATAATATCTATTAGATTCATTTACTGTACTAAGTATTGTGTTACAAAATTCATAATGGTAGTTGTGTGATTCGAGCAACTTTGGTTAAACTCATTAGATCTTGTTTTGCCTAAAACAGCTCTCTCAACTTAGATGAATTGTGGCATAGGGTTTATTTTGTATAAATGAATACAATAGAATTAAAATTTATTTCAGTAGTTTTTTGAAAAAGTTTATCAAATAGAATTGTAAAACGGTTTGTACATACAAAAGTACTTAAATTTCGAATACTTTTTATGTTGTATATTAATTTTTATCTTTTTATCTACAAATTCCGTTTGGAAAACGGAATTACACGAAAGTTTTTTGATAAAATTTATTAAAATTATAGTTAAAAAGGTTTAAATTGAAAGAGCGCTTTAAAATCTGCATGTAGTCAATCTTTTGATGATTTTAATAAAATATATCTAAAACCTATTATTGCTGCACTCAAGTATGTTCAAATATTGTACAATCTTACTAGATGTTATTTAAATGAATAATTATTTTATTGAAATAAAAAAGTTTTTATATCTTCGTTAAAAAATTATTTCAGTTTTACATATACATATACTCACTATGGTCATTAGCCATAAGCCTTGAGTATATAGTTAAGCCCAATTATTAGGCTCATGCAGTTTGACGACAATAAGGGCCGAGGAGGTGCGTACGAATAAGCTTTCTCAGCCCAAAATACGGCCTTACAGATCTTAAAGAAGCTTTGAACGCACGGAGCCCAGACTTTGTGCTGTGAGAGCACGATCGCTGAGCTCCAGGGGCTCCCCTCTACAAGCTTCTACAGTTCAATGCTGCGCCGTACTGTGCGCGCACGAACTACAGGCAGAGTGGCTCTCATGCTTGTGCTTCACAAGTTCAATGCACATTTGAACTAGTATGACACGATCTTTGATCTTAGGTAGTCCAAATACTTGTGTAGTAGGAATTCAAAGTGATTTGAACTCTATAAGCACATGTACTTGATCTCCTTATGCTCGAAATTATTTTGCGTGTAGACTAAGAGCTGAAACCAGAGGGTGGTCAAAATTTTAACCAGCCGCCAGGCCGCCCCTCTCACCAGAATTAAAACACCTTAGGCTGCAGTCCCATGGTACGAAACAGAGCTCCGCAATAGAAGCAGCCAAGAGGCAATAGCTCTGATTGACTGTTTCTATTGCGGACAGTCTATTGCGGAGCTCTATTTCGTACCATGGACCATGGGACTGCAGCCTTAGGATTTAGGATTCGTGGAGATCCGAAATATTTCGGTCATATTCCATAGTGGTTAGAAGTTTTGTGGTAATTATGGCAGTGCCGTATGGTCTTTTTTATTGACCAGCCACAACTTACATCAATGGATAGAAAATATAAAGCTGTCAACTGAAAGTACCATTTGCGGCAAGATTAGAATGCACCTTGTTCCCAAAAATTTACCTCAAAAAATAAAGACTACCTACCCGATATTATCTATAATACGCATCTAAGATAATATATAATGGGTTATAGATAACATTATAGATAAGAATACAATATATTTATATTTTTGGAGGTCAAGTTTCGGGTACAATATGCATTCTAATCTTGCCGCAAATGGCATTGTCAGTTAACAACTTTTTATTTTGTATCTATTAGTGTAAGTTGTGGCTGGTCAATAAAAAAGACCATACGGCACCACTATAATTACCACAAAACTCTTTACCACTATGGAATATGACCGAAATATTTCAGATCTTGATGAATCCCAAGGTTCTTGAATTCTGATGAAAGTGGCGGCTGGTTAAAATTTTGACCACCCTTCGACCTCAGCTCTTGGTCCGTACAGTACCTACTCTGGAGTGGTATTCCGTAACTAATTTGCTGTACATCAGCCTATGCTACAACATTAAGGAATACTACCCCAGTGTATGGGGCATGTTCCAATCTATAAAAAGACAAAATTAAGTTATTTAAATGACGTGAAGAATTTCGCTTGCTTAGAGACACTTAAACACTTAAATTTCTCTCTTGGTTTTGTTCTTGACACTCTCGGTAGACGCGGTTCGCGTCCTTCGTCTCGTTACCCTCGCTTCGTGCCTTTGTTAGGCTTGACACGACAAACTGGAGCACGAGTCATGGCTGCGGAAAATGAGGTTTTTGTAAGTCCAATTTACCAGTTTCTTACCGAGATTATTCTGCTTAACTTTTGGTGTCGGACAATTTAGTTTGTTGCGTTCTTTTTACACAATAATACTAAACGCGCATAAGCTGCACCTAACCAACTATGTTATAAATTTTTTTTCATTTTTTTACATTGTTCATTCAACAGTTTAAGTTGCTTTTATCATTCCTAAGTGTCGTTCGCTTGTAAACCACTGGAGTACAATTAAAATTATAATTATATACTTCAGACTATAGTGTTTATTGCAATAATAAATATTTTACCAATGTGCCTAATTTGTACAGTAAATAATATGTACACGCACGGAGAATATATCTAGTTTCTAAAAAATTGTCTAGCATAAGTGTAACCGAAAAAATCCAGGTATTTTACGTAGAAATAGAACTATTTCAGCAACATCAACTGTGCCTTAAATATACAATCATATCATGCATGCCTCAATTTGTACGTACATAATTTTTACTCATAAATAATCAATCAGTATTTAGTGTTATTTATTAAATACTACTTGAATAAACTGTTTACAGTTAAGTCTCTAAAATATTTTTTTGACATTGTCTACAGTAATGTGTTATGCTTCATTCCAAATTGAGTTTTGAGTAAAAATGAACATTCTTGTGCATCCCTTGAGTTTTTTTTTTAAAGAAATAAAGTATTAAACAATACTTTCTGATATAACTATTAATTATCAAGTCGCATTTAAATAAATCCCATTTAAGACTAAAGTCTAAGGTAATGCATGATGCAGAGTCTGAAAATTGTGATAATTTTTTAAACAATTTTCTATCCACACAATAAATTTAAGTTAAGTTATAATGGCATCAAGTAATAAATTTTCTGTATTCTAACAGTAAAAACGGTCTGGGATGATGAGCAACTTTAGTCTGTTTTTGCTGTTACTGTTGGAGAACCAACAAAAGTTGTTTAGTTTTTGAAGTCAATTAACATACCTGTATTACATTTTTGTTGAAAATCTCTAAGATATTCTTAACTAATAGGATTGGGGCAATGAAAAGTTGCAACGTGCTCAAAAGACTGTAAATGAATCCATTTATGATCTTGAAGCATGGAGTCTTCTCATCAGGGAAGCACAAAATAGATCAATAGCTGAAATGAGACCAGTTTTTGAAAGACTTGTCACAGTATTTCCATCAGCAGGACGTTATTGGAAAATTTATATTGAACAAGAGGTACATGTTATATACAAGTAATTTATGTTCCAAAACTTCAAGTAAATTTCGCAGACAAATTTTTAGTTATGTATCCACTTTTTTACAGATGAAATCACGCAACTATGAAAAAGTAGAAAAGGTATGTTAATGCAGAGTTTCTTAAGTTCTCCATAATCTAGTGAATTTGACACCAAATATGTATGAACATTTGTATTTGATTAGGTGTGGAACAAAAATGAAAAAGTGGTATTTCGTACCAAATATTTCAATAACGACACGTTTTAAACGTGGCAAATTTCATAAAGATACTTTAGGCTGTGATATAGAAAGTGACAGGTTTTATAAAAGAAATTTTTAAGGATTTATAATACAAAATAATACCAGATGTCACAGAAAATTTTTTTTTATATTACATCTATCAAAAATTTAAGTCTTTCAATCATTCATAAAATTTATTTTTTTAAATTTATTAATATACTTCAAACAATTTTTATCACTTTACGTAATCATTAAAAAACTCATTTATAGTTTTGAATATTTTTGTAGTTAAAGTGAAAATGTGGTTTGACAAGAATTCAAGCTTTATAATTCGTGATAGCAAAACTTACATTAGTAATGATAGTATGAAATGTGATTTAAGCACTTTACAAATTGTGTGAAGTGAATAAAAGTCTTTATATCTATCACAAGGCACTCTTTTCATTAAATAATTAAACGCTAAAAATGTTTGGGAGGTGGTTTTCCTTATAGATGTCTTTATATTTTTTCTATTCGATTTAATGTATACTCTTATTAAGTGTAAAGTATTTTAAAATACAACTTGTTAGCATCATGGAAGGCGAATAACTTCCTGAACATGGTGGCCTTAAATTCCTTCCTAAATCTTATAAATTATACCGATGTGCTTGTTCAGTGACCTTCTTTCACAGTTTGCATGTTTTCAACAGAAATACCAGTGAAAATATTTTTTAACTCATAAACTTCCAAATATTTCTAAATCGATTTAACCATCCCATCCTAAACAATAAATAGATGACGCTTTATAGAGATAGCATAACATTAATCATTGTATAAATTGCAACAAAATAATTCGTTCTTGGGTAAACAGTTGTAGAACTCTTCCTTGTAATATTAATTTCTACTTACTAGTTATTATATATCTACATTTACAATGATCTCATCTTATGCTGTTTCGCAGTCTCAGTTTTTTCTCTTATTGTTATATTTGCCTTAACCAGTATGAAGCCATAAGAGTTGAGAATCAAAGATTTTATTAATAAAGAGACTTCACACTAAAATATTCGTTTCGATTCAATTTTTCATGAAATTCCTCCCAAAAAATAGGTTACAACATGTGTTCGACAATAAACTACTTAAAAAACATGATGTCTAATTTTACTCTCCCAACTTGTAAGGATTTAATTAATTTAAGCACAAATTAGTGATGCAGAAATCAATTCATCTGTCAGGTATAAACAAGACTTTTCGAAACACATTTCCATGTGAGATAATATCCTAATTAATACTCATGGAAACAATTATTTAATTATTAACCACTTATTCGAGAGTAAGTAGGTGGTGATAAAAACGTAGTTTCAGTTTGGAGAAATGATCACCACTTTACTTTTGATAGACTTAGATAACAAGCATTTTTTTATTATTCAACAGCTTTTCCAGAGGTGTCTCATGAAAATTTTAAATATTGAATTATGGAAATTGTATCTTACTTATGTTAAAGAAACTAAAGCAAGCTTAACGACTTATAAGTGAGTTGTGAGAATATCTTGAACATCTTTTGGTAACAACTTCATTAATTAACACCATCTTCATCGTCGAAAATTTTTATTTTTCAGAGAGAAAATGGCCCAAGCATACGATTTTGCTTTAGATAAAATTGGAATGGACATACACTCTTACAGTATTTGGAATGATTATGTTGTATTTTTAAAAAGTGTAGAAGCAGTTGGTTCTTATGCTGAAAACCAAAGAATAAGTGCTGTTCGAAAGGTAAGATCATTGAAGCATAAAATATGGAAATCAAGTTTATAGTTCTCAAATTATGAATAATGCGTAATACATTTTTTTTTTTTTTGTTTTAGTATTTATAATAAAATTAGTAAATATTAAATAAAAATTTAGTAGCATGAAAAGTATTGTGTAGTAATTTGAAAAAGTATTTTTTTTTACTTGTTAATTTCTTTAAAAAGTTTATCAGAGATTTTCGTGTCTCACGATTGTTGATTAAATTACAATAGCATTCATTTAATTCCTGGATATATTTGAAAAAATATCTACAATTTATGTATTTATGTTTTTGCCATGCTGCCATCATACTGCGCGGAAAATTCCTTCTCTAGGCACAGGATTGGTGAAATAGTATATTACGCACCTAGTGAGCAAGGTGAAGAATGTCGCAGATTTCACGTAAATAAACGCCCGAGGCGAAGCTGAGGGTGGATAACGTGAAATCTAGGGCATTTCTTAACCTCCGAACGTGGTGCGTATACTATTTTTCGTTCTGCTTCGCGCAAACGAATATCCCTTCTCTCGGCACAGGATTGATGACAAATAGAATACGCACCACCTTCAGAGATTAAGAAATGCATTAGGTCTCACGTTAACTACCCTCGGCTTTGCCTCGGGCGTTTATTTACGTGAATTCTAAGACATTCTTAACCTCGCTTACTAGGAGCGCAGTATACTAATACATAATATCTTCAGAGGTTAAGGACGTTGCCCTGGATCCTTCTCTGAGTCAGTGACCTTCATTATGGACGTTCATCTAAAGCTTGTTTTTATCTTATAAAATGCATTTTAAAAAATTAATCCATATCGTGCCCTTGCATTAAAGTCATTAATAAGTGCCACTGTCTTTTTCGCTCTATTTCATTTATTCTGTCTTAAATTAAAAATGATTAAGCTAACCTCAAATGTATTACTTTGTTATTGTTTTCATTATATTTCACTAAAAAGTATAATGACATGGGTTCAAACTTGAAGGGTTTACTCAACGAATATTTTCTTGTTCACTATCGAAAAATTATTCATATGCGTAATTTCTAACATTTTTCATTTTTTATATTTCATTTTTCCCATATAACTAGTGTTGAACTGCTTTTGTTTGGTCTCATATTTTTCTTATTTAAGTGTTATAACATATGTTTAAAAAACGCGTGTGAGTTCAGGTCACTTGAATCTACCATACTTCCAAGTTTCATCTATTTCTGTAATTATTTGCATAAACAGGGCAACGTTCTTAAGAAATGCATTAGATTTTACGATAATTACGTTCATTCACTTGATATTTAAAATATTTTTTATCTCGCTCACTAGGTAAATAAAATACTATTTTTGAACGTCAACGTAAATTGCATGATTATTGTGTTACTACTTGGAAAATTCTATTGAGTACATCTGGTAGATGATTCTAGAAAACTGGATATGTACTTTTGCCACGGTAATAAAAAATGAAGATAAAAACATTGTCAAATGTTTCATATTTCTGTCATTTTTTGTTTATGTAATTGAAAAAAACTTTTTTTTTAAATCCATTTGACATAAAATGAAATTAAAAATTTTTTCCCATGCCTAATACCAAAAACATATTAGAAAAAATCATGATTATTTTTCTATCAAATCATATAAACTCTTGAATAAGGAATGTAAAATTAAAATTTAAAATGTTTCTCAATAATTTCAGGTTTATCAACGTGGAGTCGTAAATCCTATGATCAATATGGAAACACTGTGGAAGGATTACATGGCTTTTGAGCAAAATATTAATCCTATAATTGCAGAAAAAATGGGAATTGAACGGTCACGAGACTACATGAATGCAAGGAGAGTCGCCAAAGAGTTGGAAGCGGTCACAAGAGGATTGAACAGAAGTGCACCAAGTGTACCTCCAACTGGTCATCCCGAAGAAGTTAAACAAGTAATTAAAAATTTCGTTTTTCATATATTACTATTTCAGTGTTGAATAAAAATTTTATTTTACTCCAACGTATTCACCTCCTTGCGTGGAATTTTATTTTTCTTGTACATCACACAAAATAAATATATTTCACTTCTCATAATTTTTTTTGTTATTGCTTTTCGAGATTCGGTTGATTTTATAGTTGGACATTTTCATTGTACTTATAACGAAATTTTTACCTCACCATCAATAAGTACACTCACCTAAGCATGAATTTTCAGAGTAAAAATATCTTTGCTTACTTATTAATTGTTAGAAATGTAAGATTATTCGCACAATTATTCGAAATTTAATAAAAATTATGAATTATTTAAGTTGATTTAATAATACTTAAATTTAGCTTCTATACTTTATAACTGCATAAAGGAACATGCCTTGATAAGAAAAATGGAAATTTAGGGACTAGGGTATGAACGATTATTATTTAGAGTATCTGTAAACTTAAAGTACATGTTTAATGATAAATACCGTAAAATTACTCTTTCGAAAACTTGAAAATCTTTTAGACGTCCCACAATGAAGTTATGGAAAATTCAGTAAAGTGTGAGTTTTGATTGAGGCTAGTTGCGTTTGTTACTAAAACTTTCAAAAATGAATATATTATTGAAAAGAAATTTTCCATTTAGTTTGAAATATTTTTTTTTTCCAGTCCAAGTTTAATTTTGTGAATGTTAAGCAAATCAGCTCGAAAAAACGCTGGATCTACGACTAATGAAGTTCAAAGTTTTATGTTTATTTACAAGATTTTTGGCGATACATACTATTTTGCCTAGTTTTAAAGTAAAGATAAAACAATTTATAACTACTTGCGTAATTGCTTATAATAATTTACGAACTCGTAAAAAAACATTTTTTCGCGGATACCCAATTTTCATTGTAGTAACACACAGTATTGTACATAATGGTAGTATTAAACAGTATTGTACAGTATTGTACGGCCATATCAATGCTTTAATTTTTTTTTTCTCTTTGACACTAACTTTCTGGTCAGAAATCTTGAAAACGATCAAGTACTTATCATCAACATTTTTTATTCAAACTATATGAATAATAAATATTTTGCTTTTTTAACCAAAAAAGCATATCTTTCAATAGAAGGCAAAATAACCAAAAAATCATAACTGTTAGTAAAATGTATTGTGTTCTAGCATAATGGAGTAGATGATTATAATACTTGCAATAAATGTATTCAAGGTTCACACCATCTATTTCCGATTTATTACAGTGCATTTTTCTGAAATGTACAATTGTACTCACACGACAAAAACGTAAGTATGTACAAAAAATTCGAAGAAATTATTATTTGCACTTTCATCCGATTACCGCTGCAGTTATTATTTGATTGTTATAGTATATTATGAACCTAATGAGCGAGGTTAAGAATGTCTTATAAAATTTCACGTGAATAAACGCCTGAGGTAAAGCTGAGGATATTTAACGTGAAATGTAATGCCTTTTTTAACCTCCGAACGGGATGCATATACTATTTTTCACCAATATTTTGCCAGAAGGAGGAATTATTTTCGTAAAAAAGTTCCTTGTTTCGGCGCATTATGGTAAAAATAAATTGTGCATTCTGATCGTCAAATTTGTAATCGACCATCTATCCATGATTTTTTAGACGAAATTACCGCTTTTTCCCTTGTACTAGACCTAAAATTGGCAAAAAGAAAAGAAAATTAAATCTATATTACAAATCTTGTCATACAATTTACAGTTTTTGCTGTTTCATAGACAGACTGACCGAATATCTTTTTAAACAGATAGTTGTAGCCCAATGTCATATTTTGGATATTATATGCAAAAAAAAACTTCTCGATTACGAAAAAAATAGTAAAAAGCGTGTATATTTATTTAAATTTAAATGAACTAAAATGAAATAGCCGGGAAAGCCTTGATTGCCAATATCTCATAAACCCTAAAAGATGAAGCAAACATTAAAATACCAGCTTATCAGGTGGACAATTTTCTATCGATCCAGTACTTTGCCTTGATTTGGTTGCACTTAAAATTTCGACATAAAAATTAATAAAAGGTTTTTCGCGATCAGCTTGCAAGAGTGAGAGAGATAAACAGTTTTTGCGAATGGCTGTGAGCCCCGAGCCCCCTTCATGCTTTACCATCTCACGCACGCATTCGGTGTATTTATGTTGATTATGAGCACATTTAAGGTGGCGCTGCCAATGCTGGAGTTCGGTACCAAATTTTTCAGCATGAAAGTATTGCATCTTACAGAAACGGTTCTATTTTACTTAACTATAATTTTATTCTTACGTGGCAGTTTGTAAAACTGGTACTTATTACGAGATATTTGAATAGTTTCTTGAAAAAAATTGTTTAAAAGAAAACAAATTAGCAGAAAAAAAACAAGAGTTACCATATTCTTTAGGTAAACAGCACGTATCTGCTATTCCTATATATAAGACACATGCACTGACTAACTTTGCCTGGCTAGTATGGAATTAATTACGACCATGCAATCAAGATAATTCGGTAATCACTCAAAAATGATTTTAGTTCGATAAAGTATAGCAATATCATGTAAGAAGTACTAAATTTATAAGTTACCCAATGAAAATAGAATTGTAAATAATAAAAACAAAACCGTTCCGATAAAATCCAATATGCTTCATGCTGGAAAATTTGGTTATCGATAAAAGTGGCCATTTTTGGACATTTAAGTACGGGGCATCTAATTGTCCTAGAAACATTTTTCAGGGGTTAAATTGTAGGTATTTGTAATACCTACCTTTGGTGAAAACAAAGTTTTCCCGCAATTTGCAAAAACGTCCCTGTCTTCAATGATCAGGTGAGATCTCACCAGAGTTCTCAGCTGATTTATCAGGTGAAATCTCATGCCAAAAGCTCAGCTGAGAAACCACCTGAGATATCACCTGAGATTTTTGAAAAAAGTTCTCATAGGAGCTTGTTGTTTATTCATTTCAAATAATTTCTAGTCGTTAAAGCTACATGTTTGAAAAATTTTTTTTCAGTTTTTCAACCTCATATGCATCGAGACTTTAAAAATTTTCGAGAATGAAAAAAAACGTCATCTATTAATTAGTTTTGTTGTAGTTACGGGGACATTGTCTAATATATCGTAACTATTCCTATATAGATATTAACTAGAGCTGCTTTATTCCTACAATAAAATTTGTGACGTCATTCGAAATATAATATGGCGGGTGGCACAATATGGCAAACGAGCTTCTTTTTTACGCGCTTTCGAATAATATGTATTAAATAAATGGGTTAAATACATATTTTGTTTAATTCAGTTAATAAGCGAAACGCCAATTTCGATTCAATGTGGTGGTCAATATAAAATGGCGAATAACATGTTTTTGCGATTCCCATAATATGGGTGTCACATAGTAGGGCTTAAAAAATGGAGTACACAGAACAAAGTGGCCCTACGCTTAGTCCAATATGGCGGCCACAACAGAAATATAACATCACGTGACTAGTATTAAATATTACCGTAGTAAATAAATATTAATCAAGATTACATTAGTCAATGTATGATTGAAGGATCAAGAGAGCATTGTCGTATGATTAATATTTCAACCGTCTAAAATCAGTTAGGAAGAATAGGGAGAGTTAGTGAGACTGAGTCGTCACAGTACTTGTATTTTTATGACACCGTGTTCAGGACTTGATGACTTTTATTAATACTTATTTAGAAATAGGGCTTTTACCTTAAGTATATAAGAGTTTTTGGCATGGGATTTTATCTGAGAAATCAGCTGAGAACTCTGGTAAGATCTCACCTGGAAATTGAAGACGGGGTACAAACAGGTGTTTTGCGAAAATGGCACAGAAATCGCTAAAAATCGTTCAAATTCAATTTTTCAAAGCGATATGTATTCTGCAGATATAACTTTACGACACAATTGTTATTTCAAATACTCATAATGTTGCCAGTCCCTAGAAAAACGCGTTGCAGAATAGTGAAATTTTGCGGCTTTAGGCGCCGAGGTGAGCCAGTGAAGGGGAAGGGACGCATGATGGGAAAAGCCTTTCTGCTGCGCTAGCCAAACTCAGGTGGGCGAGCGCTTTAAAGTAAATACATGGCTTTAAATCAGCCGTGCTATATAAAAACACTATAACTCGGAAAGTACAGGACCAATTTTGATGTTTTTTTTTTAAAGTGGGGTACCTCACCAACATATTTGTAACAAGCTTATTTCTCCAATACAATAAATACGCGATAACGTTCAATTAGTGTCCTCATACGGGAGCTTCGTAATAGGTACAATATCACATACTCATCTCTTAAGCTGTTCTCGATGTACTATATAATATTTTGTCGTACGTTGTTACATCATAATTTTATCACCTGATGGTTTTTAGTAGAGTTCTTTTTTCATGCTTTGGCAAAATAAAATAATATATTTGCCACTACAGAATATCTTGGAAAATTAGTAAAAACAATTTGGGTAATACATATTACATACAAAGAGTAAAATATCGAGAAAATTGTTTTATTGTCATACTAGTGGGGCCTCCGGTCTCGGCTTCGTCCGAGACTCACTAAATGGAACACCGTAGTATGTTGACATTTAATGTGAAACGTTTTAAGTTAAAAAATTTTACACCTATTTCTGACACTGCTCAGAACAAAAATATTCTTATTAAAAAAGACCGGTGAGATTCTTAAGTAAACTCTGTATTGACTGAAGCTCACAGCAATTGTGACTGCTTGAATACCTCAGGGTGATCTTCTCTGGCCTGCTGTTGAAGCCCCAGACTGATCGGGAGAAAAATTACCAAGTCCGAAGCTTTGGAGCTAGTTGTAGAGATCTTTCTCAACGTCTCCTGGTATAGCGTCAGAGACGTTGGTGTCTAAAGCTCCTTTTTTTTTGCAGACTTAGTTGTTTTGGTGATCTAAGATGGGGATATTGGTTCGTGATTCTTTTCCGTTGGAGACTGTCCCGTTGGCTTAAGTTTTTTTTCCC